AGCAGTTGAGAGGGTGGTGGTGGTGGAAAGAAAACTGTTATATTTCGTCCAAAATGGACCCTGCAGAACGCGAGGCAGGCGGCGGAGAGTGTGAGGAGGGAGTATATGTAGTGGTGCGGAGGAGCGCGGGGAGGGGGGGAGGGAGGCACAGGTGCCCGAGCAGGGCCCGACCGCAGCCCTCCAGGGCCTCCACGTACAAGCAGGGAAATCAAAACCAACAAAGCGCGATAACCGAGAAAATCGGGACGGTAGTGTTGTCCTATCCTTCCGCGCTGTATAAACAATACTGGTATTGAACAGTCACCACTAACTTCACGGTAAAACTACGTCCTGGTTTTCATGACGTTTGGAAAAACCCTGACGTGCCCTACGCTACGCATTTCCTCCATGGGACGTCCATAGGTTTTTCCAAACCGTCATAAAAACCACACTGTAAAAAGCTTACGGTGAATTGCACCGTAAGCTACGGTGAACCCCTGCAGCACCGTAGCCTACAGTGTATGTCACCGTAGGCTACGGTGAATATCACCGTAGGCTACGGTGAATTTCACCGTAGGCTACGGTGAATATCACTGTAAGCTACGGTGCTGCAGGGGGTCACTGTAGCTTACAGTGAAATTCACCGTAAGCTTTTAACAGAGCAGGACGTCGTTTTTACCGTGTGCTATTCTACACACAAGACCACGAGTATCAAAACCGAGCACAACACTACGTAATCGCCTTTTAAAATTCCGGTATGGTGATGGAGAAGGGACGAGGGGCTAGATCGCTATGCAGCACTTGTTTTTTGCCTCGTTTAGTCGTTTGGATCATCATTACTTTCCATCGGCGCAGAGCTGCCGGCGCGGCCGTCACGGCCAGGTGGTGCCCTTCCACCACCACCACCACCTCCCCGACCTCCCTTTCCTCGCACAGGGCCCATACCGCCCCGCAGTGCAAATATAATCCCGAACTGCAAATCACGTCCGTCAAAGCAATCCCAAATCGCACCCTTGATTGTCGTGCAACCCCGCACCCCCGCAGAGTGCACATACACACGCACGCTCGGACGCACGGACACGAATGGGCACGGCCGCAGCCCTGTGCATCTGTCTGCCCCCTCCCTCCCTCTCTCTCTCTCTCTCTCTCTCTCTCTCTCTCTCTCTCTCTCGACGGCCAGTCCACCACGCCCCTGGGGAGTCAAGGACAGATGGATGCGGCTGGACTCGCGTGCCTGTGCCCGTGGTGCCCGCCAGCATGGCTCGGGGGCGGCCGGTCAGCTGCGGCGGTGCTGAAACCAAACCCCGTGTGGTGCATGCAGAGAGTACACACTGTATGTGCGTGAATCAATCCCATGCACCTGCCAACAGCAGCCAGCTGCGAGGGAGGGGGCTGCTTATTTCTGGTCCGACTGATGCAGAGTAGGGAGGGCAGCGCATCCCACCGCACCCCAGCAAGCGGCACAGCCGAGCACCACCGCCTGGAAATGAAATGGGAAATCTTCTACATACTGCAGAGAGCCGCCTGCCTGCACTCTCTGGCGCAGTGCTGCATGCACCGGTGGCGGCGCAGCGGCGCTCACGAGAGAGAGAGAGAGAGAGAGAGAGAGGCGTGTGAGGGTCTCGACGTGACTGCGATTTATCCTAGCCTGCACGGTAAAAAAATCCAGCGTGAATTTTACCGACCCGGCGTGGCAACGCACCTGAACACGCGCTGGGCTGGGAATTTACATGCCCACATGGTCTGTGAATTCCTGGCCCAACCACCTGCGAAGTTACCAGCCCAGTGGGCAGGGAAAGTTGCGAGGGGGCCGCAACT